GGGGGTTGTGAAGTGAGGATGGGGGGTGGTGAACATTATTATAATGCTTAATTGTGATTTCTTACAGATCTACAACACTGGAGCATTTTAACAGAACAGAGTGAAGGATTTTCTGAAAAAAATGTTAATACAGTTCCTTAGAAGTATTTGCCTTTGATACCAAAAGAGGAAAAAATTAAAGGTTGGAAGGAAATATCTGTTTGGGAAGATAGGAAAAGGAAATTTGAGAATTGATTGGTGCTAGTATGCTGTAAGTGGGTGGATGGGTTTTTTTTTTTTTTTTTTGCTACAGGAAGTGATTTGCAGTGTTCACTGAGCCTTTTGTTGAAAAGGGTCCTTCTCATTTGTGTGAGTCATGCTTTTGCTGTGAGCGAGTTGGCAGCTCTAAGCAGGACTGGGATCTCTGTCATAGAAAACTATTACTTCACCCAACCTTAATGTAGAACCATAAGAAATATATTTTAAAGCATTTACTCTTTGTTATACTCTCTGCTTTTTTTTAAAACCAAAATTTTATTTCCCGTCCTTGTTGTTATGAATCGTCTGCTATGTTAGCACAGGCATCTTCTGCGTTGGCATCAGATTTGCCAGAACGTATGCAGGAAACCAGATAGAAGGGCATGCTTCAACGTACCAAGTATAACCGCTTCAGGAATGATTCGGTGACATCAGTTGATGATCTTATTCACAATTTGTCCATGAACAGCAAGGTCTCAGCAGTTGCTACGACTTCAACAACACCTTCATACCTGGTCTCACCTGAGGTTCTCCGCAAGGACCAAGAAGATGGACCCACCACCCTTTGCACCCTCATCCATAAAGTGTCCCACTTGAAACTGTCCAACACAGGCAGCCTTTTGGGCATCAAAAACCTCTCCTCTGCAGTGAAGGAGCTTGCTGTCTCCAAGTTGCAGGGAAGCTCGAGTGCTTCCAGCTCAGCAGCAGGGGCTTCAGACAACACATGTAACCTTGTCTCTGCCACTTCGTGTTCTCAGCAGGACGTGAGCAAGATGAGTACAGGGAAAAAAACACGGTTAGAGGAAATGCACCTGGGAGGTGAAGACTGGAATCAAAATAGCAGCTTTGTCAATAAACCCTCTCGAGGGTGGCTGCACTCGAACGAAAAGATCTTGGGACCTGGTGTGACGTACATTGTGAAGGTTGGTCTGTTTTCCTTCCATTCTCTCTTTTTCTCAATGAAAAATTCTCTGCTGGTTTCAATGGCAAACTGGTGAGGCTGAAAGGATCTCTATTTTTATGTTTCTTGTTGTGTATAATGCATGGAATATAAATGTAGTAAGGTAGGACTGGAAAGCAGGGTTAATTTATTATAATAGAGAACTATGCACGTTTGCTTGCTGTGAGTTAACATGTTTTATAGGTGTTTTAAAAGATTCTTCCTGAAGCTAAAAGCAGTTTTTTCTTACTCTGTTTTTCCTCAATTCAGGTGCTCAGTTATCTCTAGTATATTGTATATATCCTGGCTACATAGATTTTCAATATGTCTGTTGCTGTCTATAATAGAACAGGAAAGAGAAATACCTTGATGAGTGAAAACCTGGTTATCATGCACAATATTTCAAACGAAAAATATCTTCAAAGAAATATGTGCCTTTTTGGTGAAGTTGTATTTGAAATCACACAAAAGAAAGCCACAGATTGCAGTTCTTGTTGTGTTCCACAAATAGAAATATTGTTGATTTATGGTAGAACAAGGAAAAATATAGTCTTGTTTTACATAACAGGGACTTCAGGCACCTTAAACATTATTTCTCTTTTGAGTACAGTGACGCTTCATGAACAGGGCAACAATCATGACATTTTGAAATGTACTGTAACAATGATTGTACCTTTGGTAGGGAGGGGGCACAAAATTGTGTCATAATTGCAATTGTGTCAGGTTCCACTTTACATGTTCAAAGCTAGTGTACAGGAGGTACAGAAGTGCACACCTGTATACTGTATACAATTCAATCATCAATTTTGCATTCTTATACTTACTAGTAATGTTTCTTATGAATAAAGTGATAGTGTAGCAAGGGGTTAAACAGAGAATAGAGCAATTTTATTTAAAGCATAAAAAATTATGGCATAAAGTTTAATTAAGAATGATTTACAAATAAATGAAACCCCCACTTGTTCACTTACCTCACTTTCTCTAAATTCCATATTAAAAGCAGGGGATATATTAAACCACTGAAACTTTGGGAAATAAGTTGTTTGGTGTTTTTTTTAAAGATGGTGTTGATGAAAAACCATTCAAACCTTTTCTTCAGACGTATTAGGGCTTGATTCAGTCTCAGAAGAGTCTGAGACGTAGAGGAAAATGACAGAGCCAGTGTTACCTTTTAGAATGCAAACTGCTCCTGCTCCTCTTCAAGAACTGTCTTGGTAGAAATGACACCTTGATGCTGAATGTTATAGGAGTGTATCTATCCTCCTCTGTCATGACAATATTTTAGTTAATGGAAGGTTGTACACTAGTCTTATCATAGCTTATGAACCTCAGTTCTATTTTTGCTCAGGACATCATCATAGACAAAGATAATGACTTCTGGAATTCACTTCTACTGTTGATTGTGCTTGTAAGCAACAATTATGACGCAGAGCAAATACAGCATTTATTTTCTTGATCTGATTTCCTCACTGACTGACCACAAGTATAGCGGAGAAAGCTGAGAACTTTGAGTTTTGAGTCGACAAGAGGTGCAAAAATATCTTATTTTTGGTTTTAAAATAAAAAATGAATTTTCAATGATGAATCAATATTTAAAACTCTCACTTGAACAAGATAAAGATTTCCATCGGTGCAGCTGGTGTAGAATATTTAAGCCAATATATTTGGCTTCAGAATTACATATGCAGTATTTTAGTTGGGTGTTACCAGGTCATCAACATGAATAGAATTATGATATTTAGTATTTCTATTAAAATAGAATGACAATGTTTAATGTTTTGCTCTCAGGAATATTTAGTCATAGAGAAAATATGGTGTAATATAAATGTCAAAGTAGAGGTTTAAAAGGAATATCAAAATCAATGGCTAATGTTATATGAATGAAAATAAAAGCCATCCTACTTAGTTCATAATTTGCTTGTTCGTTAAGTATCTCTGAATTTTCCTCAGCAACTGCAGCATTCACATAGATAAGAATAGAAGTGCAGTTCCCACATCATTAAACACTGTTAGTTCTCAGGGCTTTTGCGCATTCAAACCATCAAGTCAATACATAGATAATGTACACTGAAAGGAAGCATTCCTTGGGTACCTCATGGCTATACTGAATATCTGGGGGGCTTGTACCATGTTTAATTAGTGCCATATGCCTTGCAGAGTATTCCATATGCCGTAAGTTAAATGAGACAAAAATTTGATTTGTTGTTAACCAGTAAAGCTTTCATCATTTGTATGTGTAAGTGCATAAAGTTAGTATTTTTCATTAATTTATGTCAGAAATGTGGAAAGTGTATATGGAAGAGGGCAAGCTGTCATCAATAGACAGTTTGATGTAAACCATGTTGGAGCATCTACAAGAAGACAGGGCAAGATCCCTACGTGTAGTTCAGTCATCTACTTATATATGATGTAAGAAACATACTCTTTCCTTAATTTTATTAATAAGCACAATTGCTAACAACGCTTAAATTGCAATAGAGAAAAATGCAGTGCTTTGCTCAGTGAAGATAGTGGTCATTTTTTTTGCCAGACTTTTTGTTTTCCCCATTTTTTGACCTTGTGCAAATATGATCTATTTTGAGATAATATAATAGCAATGTGGTAAAAATAGTGAAGGATTATAATGTATAGGAGCTCTGATCTCAGTACTATTCTCTACTGTGGTAGAATTTTTTGGAGATAAAACTGTTGGTCTAGCCTATAATTTTTCCCCTGTGAATATCATGTTGCCTTTTTGGATTTTTTTGTGGAAAGCTTTTTTCACAAAAAGACTGAAGAGGTGGTTTAACAGGGTATAGTTGATCAAAATATATTTGACCTTTTATTTAATTTCTTTGACATTCAGTGTGTTTGGAAATATAAACCCAAGGTACTGGTGTTCTATATGACACTATTGGTGGACAAATTGAAATTGTGGACACTTACGGACTAAGGAAATAAATGAGGATAAAACTGGTTTGTAATGATGGAAGTCCCTGAATATTTCAGTGATTTCTTGGTAGAGCCTACAAGTAATGCAGAAAATGATTGGAGATGTTCACATGCTAGAAAAATGAATCCATGTAATAAAATAGTGTAAAATTGCTTAAACTACCAACAACAACAGTTATGTTTCAGTGAAATTTCTTTGTGTAAACTGATAAATGTCTACAGATTAGTTTAACTGTGATAATAGCATAGGTGTTTCATTTATTTCGAGATTTAATTGACAACAGTCATCAGCCTTGGTTGGACGCAAATCCATGTTCATTTTTAGGATAACTTGTAGTCTGGTTTTGTTATAGGTATTGATGAGTTTAAAGCTCTGGCCTTCAACAGTTCTAAAGTAAAATAAACACAAACACACTCCAATAATGTATATAATCTGGTTTTATATACAGAGTCCTTCATGTGGTAGATCCAAAAGACATTTACTAGGTATAAAAAATAAGCCAGTTGAGCTAAGCCTTAGAAAAAAAATCTATGTAAACCCAGACTTAAAAAAACAAAGATACGATTTGCCTGTCAAAGTGCAAAGGTTCTACCACATCAAAAGCCAGATTTGAAAGAAAAAGCATTTTAAAGTAATTAAAATTATGTTACGTGAAAATATATATAGCAATGCCTAACTTGCACTATACACTTGCAAGGTGGGTCTGTTAAATTTGAGCACACTCTAGCATTGCAGGGTCTTGCTTGCTTATGCTTACAGGAGGTGTCCCACTGGAATATTCAGGACCATTCCCATGTGTTCAGTAAAGACTTAGGGAATTGGGAGATTACTAAAGTGTTGTCATCTACTTGGATCTCATTAGAGCATCCATTTCAAAGTACAAACTATAGAGTGTGAGATTTTAGTAGCATTCTGCAGGAAGCTGTTGAATTCTTTCCTTTTGAGGGGCTACATTGTACCTGTAGTCATAGCTCTTAAAAGGGTTGATGTGTAAGCTGCACCACTCAGGGAATTTCTACAGAAGATGTTGTGCCTGAGAGATAACAACCTGTGCTGTACAATTTGTTCCTTGTTCCTCCATTTTGTACGTGCTTCTGGCCTATGCCTGCAGTAAATTCAAGACCCCCTGCACCAGTGCAGCTGTGATGGTCAGTCTCTGCCTACCAGGTTTAAAGGGTATCCAAGGTAGCCCATAAAGAAAGGGATGGGGTTTTTTCACTTCTCCCTTAATCCTATGAATACGTATGTAATCAAAGTTACAATCCATTCCTTTTTTTTTTAAAGTAGTTACATTAGAAAGGCATCTTTGTACCTGCTTTCTTTTATCTCTCTCAAGTTTATTTGGCTGAGGCTCTAAATTTATGTCTTCCTATATTTATGTTTTTCTTCATCAGTTGTTCTTTGCTTATGCCAAGATGTATCTGCTAATTACACAATAAGCATATAAATCATGTTAAATATATTCCAGATTTTAAGTGGCAGCCGCTAAAGTGACATAAGCAAAAGTTGTGTACGCAATAGATACTTAGGCATGTAATGCAAGTAATTCCCAGGTATCAAGTTTGTTTTTCCAAATATGGGGTTTGTGTCATAAGTTTTAAGTCCAGGTGATGAAAGTGACTTTGTGATAGTAAGTGAAATGAATGTAATGGATCCTTACTGTCAAATTTCACTATTCCAACCCTAAGCTTTGAAAAGTCATGATTGGCTTAGAATAATAGAATTTAAGAAAAAAAAATACATTTTGAGGGTTTTTTGTTTTCTTATTTTTGTTTTTCTCTGCAACCATGAGAACCAGAAATTCCTTTTTTCCCCCTTTTAATTGTAGATTGAAAGTCTCATATAATCACATGACTCTAGAAAATGGAGCATTAAGAAAAACAAATATTTCAAAGATTGGAAACACTGCAACTCTTTGTTTTCTGAAATAAAAACTTGGGTAAGGAAAGGGCAGAAGAAAATTATAAAGACCAGCCTTGATTTCAGTACTTAATTTTTCCTAGTATGCCATGTCTTTTCTAGGGTCAGTCAGTCACATCACTATTTATTTT